TATATAGACGTGCAGTATGCCTGTTGAAAGGGTTGATGGATGCGCTCACATGACATGCCGTGTCTGCAAAACTCACTTTTGCTACGTACGTATCTTGCACCGTATGTTGTTTGTCGACAACCTTCTAACTTGACTTGACAGCTTTGTGGAGCATATCTCCCACCAAATAATCCATATAAACATTATAACACGTTGGGTACCTCATGTTTTGGTCGGCTGTTTGAGGATAATGAAGGGATTATCCCCTTGGAATGAGGCGATAGGCTTTTAGTAAGGGAACAGTAAATGCTGTAGCTACCGGTTATAGAGAATAGAAATTAATTTATGAATTACTGTTCAGTATGGCCATCACTTCAAGCCTTCGAAAAAAAGCCCACTTCTACTCCTTCGACTCACCCTCATCCACCGCCAAAACAGAAGACGCCTGAATATTGATTACCGTCTGCGCCTCTTCTGACATTATCGCCTTCTCTTCCTTCTTGACCTCCTCTCCATTATCACACAACAACAATTTCGTAAGCTTCACCAACGCAAAATACTTCCTATCATCATTTTCATGCTGCCGTATCAGTCCCGTGCACGCAAATATGATGAACAGCAAAATCATCAACGTCTGCAAATGCACAATGATCGACACACCAGAAATAACAATCAGAGCCAAAAAATAGGCGAAAGATAAGTAGGCGGTGGTAAGGAAGTAAGGGACATGCATTGAAGATCCTACGCCTATCATGAAGATGATGTGGAAGATTCCGTACGCGAATATTTTCTAGTCAAGGGTGGTTGATTTAGTAAAGAATTTACCAATGAATAGCGGGTGACAACATACAATGGTTTCATCGATCATAATACCAGGAGTTTTCAATCCGATCGTTGCGTAGATGTGCATATACGGAATGCCTATGATGAGACACTCGAACACAACGAGGGCTTGCATTCGCCTTGGTGGTAGTTTGAGAAACGTTGATAGAAGGCAAATGAATGTGATGATGGGGAAGTAGCCGAGGCGGAAGGCGTAGAGGAATTCACCGTAGGGGTTGTTGGTGCGGCAGAGGGATGGGGAGCGGGGAGATCTATCTGTGCAAAATCTATAAACACGTTTTTTGAGCTTCATATAATTTCAAATGATTGAGATATGCTTACGTGTCCACGTCGACAAAGCCGTGGTATAACGAAAAGATGAATTCTACAATGAAAGACAGCCGTGTCGTGACTAGGAATCGCTTGTGATTCCACTCCATGAATTCGTGGTCGTGGATGTGATTTTTGAATGTACACAGGAAAGTTCTCCAGCCTTCTGCTATCCGCTCTTTTATCTTCATCTTTTGCTTTTCGTGGCTCTATATTATTGCAGGTCAGAATATAACTACATTTCTGCAAGCGCTGAAACAAACCTTCTTTAGCGCCATCCGACTTTTTGCCAGCAGCAGCTCTGGCTCTGCCTTCCGGAGCGTATCCAAGGGAACCTCCAGCTGCTTCGACAAGTACACATACAAAACATGCATCTTCCTCAAACTATGATCCCTCTTTCTCTCTGAAATAATTAACGTTGCCGCCAGAGACGCATAAGTTCCCAAGGCAGGAAGAAACGTATACAACGGCAAATCAGGCCTAGCGGCCGCCAGATTCGCAAAGATGCAACTCAGCATAATGATTAGCGTTGTCGTTGATAGGATCCATCCATGACGCAGCCCGCCGATTTGAAGAGCAATAGTGTAGAACCACGTAGAGCTGATGAAAGTTTGGAAGATGGTCGGTGCGACCCAGGAGTAGTAGAAGTAGTCTATTCGGAGGCCGAAGCCGCTTGAGATACAGATTTGGATGAAGAAGTAGTAGGTGAAGATGCGGAGCATTAATTTTGTAGGGATCATAAACGAGATGATGACACCGACGACGTTAGCCAGGGCCGAAAGAAACTAAACATGATTTATATAATCAGAAGTTCGTCAATGAATTTGATAAGCATATAGAGCTGCATAGAGACATAAACGTACCACAGGGAGTGTGGCTGGTGCTGCCCATTCTGAGCTAGTAACAGGCATCGCAGCTACCACCAACAACCACTGCAGGAGCACGATAAAGACCGATATAGCTCTTGTTCTATTGAGAAATTGCTTGGCCTCTAGCATTGAATACAATCGCTCCGTCTTTGAATTCAGAAACCGAAGCCAGAGGGGCGAGATACGCTCATCCTTCCATAGATGCTCGATGGTTCGTTCGTCGTGCGGGGGTACTATTTTGAAGGCTGAGGACATGAGTTCCTGGCCTGTGGTGGTGGTGTAGCTACGGAGAGCGGTTGTAATGACATCTGTAGGTGGTCCTTTGAGGGTTAATGTCGCTGGCTTGAGGCCGGTGGTGGTGGACGAGGAGGTGTAGGCTGGAAGTTGTTGTTCCTCAGGGTGGACTTTTATTGAGGCTGACATGTGGATGCCAAGGTTTGTCAAAGTTTGTCAAAGCTGATTGAGAGACACAAGCCCTTGAAGGTCATCAGCTTCGATTGATCTCTCGAGCGAGAGTGGCAGCGAGGTGGCGATGGCAGATCCTCTATCTTTGACGACTGCAACACAATTGCGAACAGTTATATACAGCCGGATATTCACTTGATGAGGGATTTACAAGGACGCAAGTTGTCAGCATTTCAGCTTATCCAATTAGCTGATATTGACAGCTCGTTCCGCACACTTGCTTCGTCATGGCCCATGCATGATGCAAAATATAGTCTTATACCAACTAAGGAATGTTTGTCACCATCGCATTGTCTTTTGAATTTGAAATGAAAATCTATTACTGTCTTCTTGTTCTACGCAGTGCATTTCTTGCATTTACAAGCTTCTATTCCATACTCCCTCAACGACAAAGCCCTCCACTCCAACCTCTCCTTCTTCTCATCTTCATCTTCCTCCTCAACATCCTCTATTGCTTTCGCGGCCTCACTATCATCCCCATCCTCAGCCCATGCCTCCTCACCCCCTTCATCAATGTAACTAATCGTAATCTCCTCCCCAGGTTGAATATCCCGCAACGCCCGAATAACTGTTCGACCATCATACACCATCTTTGCGCCAGTGTGGGTTCCGCTTAATCCAGATTCTTTAAAAACCATCGCGTTAGGTTCACAATGGTGATTGATTGATCCCTGGAGAACGTGGAGTGCTGTTCCTTCGGCAATGAGAGCGTTAAGGGCTGCGTAAGGGTTGGTGTCGTCTTCGTCTTCTTGTTCTTCTTCGTGTGAGCAGCACCCGTCATGATGTTCGTGGTGGTTACTGATTGATTTTGCTTTAGCGAGGATTTGGTTGATAAGATCTTCTGGGAGGTAGTCCAAAAGAGGGAGTAAAGGTGAAGGTGTGATGGTTGAAAGGTTGTTTCGCTCGAAAAGGCCGATCAGCAATCCGAGAAAATCTTGGTTTAAAGCTGGGTGCAATTCGGGAATGTCGTCAAAGACGTCCTTCAGGATGATGGAGACCTGTTTGCAGATTCCTTTCAGTACTTGTCGAAACTCTTCGCGGCTCTCTTCATCTTCATTAGATGGCTCCGCGACGTCCCACCAGAATGCCTTCACGAACATGCGATATGGAGCGACTGCTTGCTGTAGTGTTTTGCCGTTGTCGCGGATTCTGAGGGCGATATCGGCGTAAACTTTGGCAGCGACGTAGAAAATATCATTGATCTCGAGGCAGTGTTCTTTCAAAGTCGCTATTGCAGACGACTTTGTAGGATTGGCGATCGGGCAAAGCAGTGCATGTGAATGCTTCCAGGCAGCGGCTCGGCAGTCTTCAGAGCAGTAGGCTTCACCGCATTCTAACAATCAACAAATTAATGAGTTGCTGATGATGAATTAATGATGAACATACCGCAAGATATCTCGTCCTTGTAAGCCTCGGAATTTTGAGCTTTCTCTGTCGCTGCCGTAACACCTGCCTTCTCTTCTTCTGTCAGCGGCCTTTCCAGGAGCAACTCCATCTGACTTTGAGGTGTACCCACAAAATGCATGCAATGCTGACACACGCGAGCGAATGCCTACCAGCAAACGTATTTTGAAATAAGTCCTTAGCGAATCTAAAGGATCATCTTGGTACCATACCTTGTTCATCTCATGCTGAGAACCAACGATCCCAAGCTCCAGCAACACCTGATCGCCCTTCCTAAAAGATGTCTTGGCAAAGACTCCTTTTCCACGAGGTTCACCTTGGTACTTGACCTCCAGTGGCAGATCTTTTGTGACTTTGGCATAGTAGTCCTATATGGGTTGACTATTAGCATCCGATTCATAACTTTCTTAATGACAATATCATCGATTTACTGAATGAGCCTTACTTCAGTCTTGAGTTTTTCCTCTGGTCCAAAGATGAGACGATTGTCAGCGTTGAAGTACTCGACAATGGATGGCGAAGAAGACGATAATGAGGAAGACATGCTGGTTGCGATCTAAGCTTCTGCTGCTGTTTAGGTCGTTCCGCACCTGTTAGTCTTAGTGGGTGGATGATCCAATTCGATGAAGTGGGAAGTTGTCGAAGTTCCAAAAACAAAAAAGAAAGGCAACTTCACTCGACTGACGGAAGAATCGTTTGTTTGAGTGCGGTTATGCGCGCTAATCATTGCGATGAAGCTGTTTGGGTTAGAGTATTTCGACGAGTTGTATGATAGAGAAGCACGATAGACCTCCTGAGAATAAGAAGCATCTAAAAAAGCGTCAATGCAAGGCAGCGATGGATTCAGCCTCAAAATTGACTAAGGTCGGCGAAGTCAGGAAAAGCGGAGTGGGAAGCAAAGCTAAAACCGATGGTGCAACATGGGGACACCAGGCTACAGTCGCCGCGCGTCCAAAATCGAAGAAGGCTCAAAGTAGGTATAAGTCACTATGGCCGAGTGGTTAAGGCGATGGAGTCACTATGGCCGAGTGGTTAAGGCGATGGACTAAGAAAAACCTATTTTTTCCGGAGTGCGCTGGTGAGCCATATTCAAATTGAAATTTGAAATAAATTAAAAAATATTAAAAAAATCGTCAGCTGCAGGATTCGAACCTACGCGCTCAAAGAGCATTTGATTTCAAGTCAAACGTGTTAACCACTCCACCAAGCTGACACTTGTGAAATGATACGGAATATGCTCGAATCATCTTTCACCTTTCAATTATCTTTCTTTGAAGTTCTATTTTCTTCTATAAAATCCGCCACATTGTTTAAACACGCGTCACCTTCCTCCACACACTTTAACTTGATTTCAAATCATTACAAATT